CCCACCCTGGACCCCGGGCCCCCGGGCTGAGCTCCCCGTGGTGCTGCCCACCTGGGAAGGACCATCCCGCCTGTCCCACCAGACTGGGCCCCGCCGAACCCCAATATTCTTCTTCCACCCTTCCCATGGGACTGGAAAACTTCCTCCTCTCACCGCCGGGATTGCGGCCTGGGGACACCCAGCACCGGTGATTGTCACCCACCACGGCCACCTCTGCCACCCCTCGTGTTTGGTGCCAGCCGTTATCGGGGTTCAGCGCACCCCTGTGCCTTTATCTTATCGCTGCCTTTCAGACCCAGCCAAATTCCACGGGCGGGCGATGACCCCGCCGGGTGCCAGCACGGGGGGCAGGGGCTGGCGTGGGGCACGGAGCCCAAACCGTGCCCGGTGCCAGCCGTGCCCTGGGCGGGTGGGGGAGATGAGTGGCCGAACCCGTTCGTCCACCACCACCGGCTTTGTCTCAGGGTGAAGGAGCTAATCCCGGGTTTAATTACCCCTAAATTCAGCGGGAGATAAGCTAATCAGGCTCATTAAGGGGAGGGCCTCGGCTGGTACGGAGATTTGAGCCGTAGCCTCGTTGGGGTGAGCAGGGCCACGTGCAGAGGGGACCCTGAGTCCCCCAAACCTCCCAGTTCTGCACCCCAACACCCTCCTGCCTGTGCTGGGGGACTGTGACCCATTGGGGGGGTCACAAACAGCAGGGAAGACAGTGACCAGCACCATCCCAAAGGATGCCACTGGTGGGGTCTGGTCTGCTTGGTCCCTCCCTGTAGTGGAGCACATTCCCTTAGGGGACCCCAAATCCCCCAGTCCTACACCCCAACACCCTCCTGCTTGTGTCACGGGGCTGTGACCCACTGGAGCGTCACTGAAACGGGGGGACATGTGATGATCTGCTGGTGACAGGCTTCAACCCAAGGGTGCCATTGGTGGGGTCTGGTCTGCCTGGTGCCTGCAGGACCCCTCTGAAGGGCCCCAGCTTTTCCAACCCCCCCAGTCCTGCACCCTGACACCCTCCTGCCTCTGCCAGGGGGGCTGTGACCCACTGGGGTGTCAGTGGAGCAGGGGTACACAGTGACCACCTCCATCCATCCCAAAGGATCCCCTGGAGGGGGTGCACCAGTCCCTGTGGGACACCCTGGAAGGAGCGGGGTGCTGACAGTCCAGAATCACACCTTATGCAAGGGCTTGGGGACACCTTGTGCTGGGGGACACCCAGAGCTTGGCAGCCAGCCTGGGGACAGTCCCCTGCCAGGTGACCGCTGATCCTGGCTGCATGTGGGGCAGGGAGGGGACACAGAGTGACCCTTCTCCCCTGGAAATGTCCCAGTCCCAGTTGGCATGTTTTTGGGGAGACAAAGAAGGGACAAACCTCCAGCCTTGAGGTTTTTGGGGAGGATCAGGGATCCCTTCACCAACTGTCCCTCTTGTCCCCGCAGTTCCGGGAGAAGCTGCAGGACGTGCTGCCCTCCCTCCCCTCCCAGGACGACTATTTCCTCCTGAAATGGCTCCGAGGTAACCCCAAAGTGGGGAACAGCCTTGGTGGGGCAGGAGCCCCCGTGGGGCTGGTGGGGGTCTGAGATCTCTGCTCTCTTGCAGCGCGCTCCTTCGACCTGCCCAAGGCAGAGGCGATGCTCCGCAAGGTGAGAGGGGCACCCTGCTTTTGGGGGGACCCCACTGTGCCAGGACATACCTGGCGTGGGACCCCCTGCCCTGAACCACCACCCCCAAGGGAGACTCACCCGTGGGGTTCACCTTGTCCCAAATCTCACCCTGGCCTGCTCTGCCCCGCTGCAGCACATCGAGGTCCGCAAGCACATGGATGCCGACAATATCATCACCTGGGAGCCGCCTGAGGTGAGTGTCCCTGGCTTCCTGGGGGTGGCCCTGGAGGGGACCCGTCCCCCTGAGTGCCCTGGGGTGTGTGTGAGGTGCCCTGAGCCCCCCACGCTCCCGCAGGTGATTCGGAAGTACATGTCCGGCGGGATGTGCGGCTACGACCGGGAGGGCAGCCCGGTGTGGTACGAGATCATCGGGCCGCTGGACGCCAAGGGGCTGCTGTTCTCCGCCTCCAAGCAGGACCTGATCAAGAACAAGTTCCGGGACTGTGAACTGCTCCGGCACGCGTGTGACCAGCAGAGTGAAAAGGTGGGAACCTGCCCACGCTCTGCTGGCCCCAACAGACCTGTGGGATCATGTCCCTGCCAGCTCCATGTGTCCACATCTGGTCTGCCCCTACCAGTTATCATCTTCCCCAGCCCTACAGATCCCTGCCAGCCCCATAAGTCCATGTCCATCAAAGGACTCAAAGTCCTCCCCGCGTGTCCATCTCTGGTCCATCCCTACCAGGCAATGTCCTTGACAGCCCTATTTATCTTATAGGTCCACGTCCTGTCCATCCCCCTCAGCCTGTGTCCCTGCCAGCCCTTGTCCCAGCAATCCCCACCACCCAATGTCCTCCCCAGCCCCATATGTCCATCTCTGGTCCATCTCTCCAGCCAATGGCCTCATTCACCAGCCCTACAGGTCCATGTCCAGTTCATCTCCCTCAACCTCACAAATCCATGTCCTGTCCACCTCACCATGGACTGTGTCCCTGCCAACCCCATATGTCCATCTCTGGTTCATCCTCCCACCCCACAACTCTGCATCCTGCCCATCCCCATCTCTCCACGTTCCTGCTGTCCCTTAACCCAAATCCCTGACCCAGCTCCCATGATGCCCCTTCTCCCTACACCAACACTTGGCTGGAGGCTCTGGCTGGGGTGACCAGCCTGTTGGGCCACCCCATCCCTGGACCTCCCCATGGGTCCTGCCTGATCCCCCCATCCTCCTGTCCCAGCTGGGCAAGAAGATTGAGATGGTGATGATGGTGTACGACTGTGAGGGCCTGGGCCTGAAGCACCTCTGGAAGCCAGCTGTGGACACGTATGGGGAGGTGAGGGCTCCTGCCCACCCCCCTTCCTGCTGGCCCACAGGGGTCTGGCCTGATCCCTGCAGTGCCCTGCACCCCCCAGTGTTCTGGGTGGGGTCCTGGTGGGTGCATGGCATGGGTGACCTGAGCTCCCCCCGCCCTACAGATCCTGTCCATGTTTGAAGAGAATTACCCTGAGTCTCTCAAGCGCCTCTTTATTGTGAAGGGTGAGTTCGGCCCCGGGGTCCTGCTCCCCTTATTCAGGTGCTGACACCCCCCTAATGCCCCCTTCTGCCCCCAGCCCCCAAGCTCTTCCCCGTGGCCTACAACCTGGTCAAGCACTTCCTGAGCGAGGACACGCGCAAGAAGGTCGTGGTGCTGGGATGTGAGTCCTGACCCTCCCCGAGGTGTCCCAAATGGGTCCCCGCTCTGCTATTACCCCACCCAGGGGGGATACTCCAACTCACAGTCCCCCCCAAACCCGGTGTCATCCCCCCCAGCCAACTGGAAGGAGGTCCTGCAGAAGTACATCGACCCCGCGCAGATCCCGGTGGAGTACGGGGGGACGCTGACAGACCCTGACGGGGACCCCAAGTGCTCCAGCAAGGTAGGAGGGTCCCCCCCTGGGTTCTCTAGGGCTGCTGGGCAGTTCCCTCACCCCCACATCCTCCATCCCTTCCAGATAAACTACGGGGGGGACGTGCCCCAGCATTACTACGTGCGGGACCAGCTGGCACAGAAGTATGAACACTCGGTGGTGGTCAACCGGGGCTCGTCCCACCAGGTCGAGTATGAGATCCTCTTCCCCGGCTGCGTTCTCAGGTGAGCGGCAGCTCTGTGGCACGGGTGACAGCCGCAGTGTCCCCAGCCCCACAGCGGGTGACAGCCGCAGTGTCCCCAGCCGGCCGCAGCACCGCCCCTCCTCCGTGCAGGTGGCAGTTCCGCTCCGAGGGTGCTGACATCGGCTTCGGGGTGTACCTGAAGACCAAGGTTGGCGAGCGGCAGCGGGCGGCCGACATGACCGAGGTGCTCCCGAACCAGCGCTACAACGCACACATGGTGCCCGAGGACGGCTCCCTCACCTGCACCACCCCCGGCATTTGTGAGTGCCGAGCCCTCCCCGGGGCGCTGC